TATCGAATTGTATTGCATAGTACTTGTTGTACTGTGGTTATTTTAATTTTTAAGAGCACGTTGAATATTGATGATTTCTTTATGTGTACTTGCTGCATACCGGTACTGTCCACTATATGTGAATGTTCAGATTTGTTAAAGCGCCTTCTCTTGTTAACTATAATGGTCTTTGTTTTAGTTTATTTTCGGCCAAAAACTGATGCCAAAGGTGCAGAAGAGAGAGGACGATTGCTGCTTGTGCTGAACGTATAGCAGAAAGCATCAGCTGTCGTTGCTTCAGAAAAGCATGCACTTTACTAGCTTATCCTGTACTAATGGGAAGTATTATCGAGGCATGCAAAACCCGGTCGGTGCGGGCGGCGGCGGGGCTTGCTCCTCTTCACGATCGAGACACGTAGCGTGGGACGGTGGTTGGGTGATGGCATGGTGCTGATCCAGGGCGCGAAGGCGCCCTTGGGGCATCATTCTTGGAGATGTGCATTGGCTCGGGGACCAATGGACGGTTTCAGCGGTGGAGTCTCGGCGGCGTGGTGCACCAGGGTCTCGACGGCAGATGCGTGTTGATGGACGTGCGTAGAGAGGGGCATTACAAACAATTCACAACCAAATATACTGTTTCACCGTTGTTTTAACCAAACAGCCTCCAACTTCTTCACATTAGCTTTTTCACATCAACCTTTCCACAACAGCTTTTTCACAGCAGCTTTTTCAGAATCTGCAGCTCAACCAAACACAGATTGTCCACCGCCTGTCGTCTGCGGTCATGTCTATCGCAACTATTCACGGCACATGTGAGTGAAGGCGATCACGTACAAAGCCTCTTTTTTTCGACGTCGAGATATAGAAAGCAATATCGAATGTGTACACGTTAATGTCATTGCTCCATTGATTGTTCTGAACATCCAGGGACTTGATGTCACCCTCCTTAAACAAATCCGTCTAGTACTATATATCCATGTCCATACAACTGGAGTACCCTGACTACAGATTCTGAATAATTGCAAGGAATCAAATAGTACATCCACATTAATTTGGTGTCGATTTGGATCTCTTTCCAGTCCATATAAGAGAAGCGAGGCTGCAAGCAAGCAGCTCATCCGAGATGCATAGATCGTATGTACCATATGATGCACTTCCATAACTTCCGCATGGTAGGCTTCAGAGGCACCGGGAGCTCCTGCATTACATTATGACAGTACTGTTATGGCGAAGCCACTTCATGACTGACCCCTATACTCTAA